AATGGCATCAACAATAATAATAAATAACCCTGTTCACCCTGTTAAAGCATAGATTAATTTGGATATTGTTAGAGGCAAGAGATTGCCTGTAGATTTATATAGGATATTTTTTATTTATTTCTTCTATTTATAATTCTTAATAAGAATTTTCGTCTGATTGCTTCTCTTTGGGTACAGAATGTTTGTAGTGTCAAAATGAATGCCTTTCTTTTAAAATTGATCTTTTTACGCATGTTTGTATTGTATGAACTGTTCACGTTCCAAAAGTACCTATTGATAGTGTTTTTTGGCACTGGTGGAACATTTGATTTCTTTTGATAAAGAAATATGGTGAGTATAATCTGAGTCGTGTAATCAAGTTTTGGCCCTCTCCATACGGTACTATAGTTTTTTATGTTTGGTACTACCTTTTTAAAGATTGTGCCTGTCTTTGAATTTGTCCATGCAGTCTGAAAAATGTTTTCTTTTACTCTTTGGTGTAAAAGATTTTTCATTTCGAGGGGTCACAGTCTTGTATTTATATATTCTTTCTTTTGCTTTCTTCCCTTGTTTGCAAGCTCGACAGCTATCTCATTCCCATCTATTCCGCAATGTGATGGTATCCAGATAATGGTAACCCTTTTTCAGTTAGTTAATAATTGCTCATGTAATTCAATTATGTCCTGGAGAATGTCAAATCTAGCATGATTTCTGTGAGGTTCCCCAAGTGATTGGGCTGCCGAGAGAGAACCAGTGAGTATAAGAATATCCCTGTCCAATTCTGTACTGCACGCCTGTTTCATTGCTCTATGTATCGGTATCAGTTCAGCAGTAAGAATAGAAGTATAATCTGTTATTCGTGAATACGACAGGATATTTTGTTTTTTAACATAGAATCCTGATCCAGTACGTTCATCCTCCTTGGATCCATCAGTGAAATACTGGGTATGATTACTATATAAGTCATGAATATGTTTTAATGTAATATTTTTCATTGATGCGTATTTGTCTTCTCTGTTTTTTATTTTGTTCTTTAGTGTTAGGTCCACATTAAAGTCACAATTTTTCCATAATGGTTGTTCTTGTTTCAGTGAGGCGGACTTTTTTTTTTTTACTTTCAAAGTTCCCAAAATCACTTGTGTGCTTTCTACAATGCCGTTTTTTAGTTTTGAGATGTTTGTTTGCGATCTTGATTATTCTGTCTCTGTAGACATTCAAGCATTGTTTTCTTTATTATAATTTACTCTATGCCATAGTTTGACCTTGCTTTCCTGCCTTTTTATCCAAAGAGGGGGGATTTTGGTCATGACTGATAAAGCCATGCTGCTTGCAGCGCGTGTAGAATTGGTGATTATTCTCAATGCTGAATTTTGAATGATGTCCAGTTTCTTTAGTTGACCTTTTGTTCCCTGGTCGTATATTTCCTCTCCATAGGCAAGTCTTTGTAGTATCAGATTTTTGTTTATCAATGTTTTTATTTCTTAATGTATCCTCCAGGGTTTTCTTGCTGTGTATTTCAAAATATTAAGGGTGTTGATTCCTTTCTCACATTTTTCAGCTATATGCTCCTTGAACTGGAGGAATTTGTCAAACGTAACTCCTAGATATTTTACTGATTTTGTAGTACGGAGATATGTTTCATTTATGAGCAGATCTGGGCATAGTTTTTGGTTAAAGAAGATTGCTTGGGTTTTGTTAATATTTACTTTAAATCCAAGATTTGTAAGAGTCTCGATGAGGACATTTGTTGGATTTTCAATAGTTTTTAAAAATGAAAGTGGTATTCTTTTTTGCTCTCTTTCCGGGGGCATGTTTGGCTTTAAACCACAATGCAGTGTCATCAGCAAATTGTCCTATGCTTATCCTGGGATACTTATCTTCTATTGCTCCTACTGAATTTATCAATATGTTAAAAAGTGTGGGAGAGATTACTGCTCCCAGGGGTGTTCCGTTTTGCTGATTTTTTATTTCAGATAATACGCCTCCAACTTTAACCTGAAATGTCTTTTCAAAAAGAAAGTCCTTAATATAATTACACATATTGCCAGTTATCTTCATTTTCATAAGTTGTTCAAAGGTTCCTTCTTTCCCTAGTAGATCGTAAGCCTTATCTAGATCCAAGAAAACCGCTGCCGCTACTTTCCCAAAAGTTCTACATTTATCCATTTCATGAGTTAATCTCAATAACTGATCGCGTGTTTGCCTTTTTTCTGAATCCCGACTGGTGGCACAGAATAATTTCTTTTTTTTCCAATGATGTGGGTGAGTCGATTATTTATTGTTGTTTCCAAAACCTTTTTCAAGATGACTGGTGAGAGAGATCGGTCTATAGGAAGCCGGTTGGCTTTGACCTTTATTGAGTTTTAATATTGGTACTATTGTGGCGTGCTTGAACTCCAACGGAATTTTACCTTTTTTCCAGATATTGTTGAAGAAGTGTACTATCACTAGTTTTGCGTTGTATGGTAATTGGTCATACGTTTCATATGTCAGGGAATCATGACCGGGGGTGCATTGTTTTTTCTTTATAACTTATATCAACATTTTCCTCTTTATCGTCATTTTCTTGTTTTTGAAAGAGATGTTGATTAAGTTTTGTATGATTTTGTTTCTTAATTCTAAAAGATGCATCTAGGTTTTCATCACTACTAACAAATTGATGTTTTCCCAGCGTTTCAGCTATGTCTGTGTTTGAAGTAAGTTCTTTTCCATCAAGTGGTTTCAGAGGACAAGTGCATCTGAGTTTTATATTTGTTCCATCAATTGCACGTATAGTTCTCCACACATGTGAAATTTTTGAATCAATATTCAGAGATTTACAGTAGTTTTTCTACGCTTGTTCCCTTAAGTTTCTTATGGTGCTGGTTACTAGATTTCTGGCCTCTCTGTATCTTTTAAAAGTTGTCTCTGTTTTATGTTTTTGATACTCCTTGAGGGCTTTCATTCTGTTTTTTGTTTTTTTTGTCTGCTTACTTTCCTCATTCCACCAATACACTGTATGTTTTGCTTTTTTTGGTAATGGTTTTGGGGCCTTATTTGCATTATTAGGTACTCTTAATATTTGTGCTGATTAGAGAAATTTCAGTTTTTGGCAGATTGATTTTGAATGTTTGCCAATACAGCAGCGATTTTTTAAACCACCAAGGGATCTTTATTGGGCAAAACATCCACACAGGACCTCCAAAACTTTTCGATCGTCAAAAACAAATTAAGAGCTCACTCGTAAACACATTCATAACTTGCAACTCGTTTGAATCAGCCACATCCTTACCTGAGGTAGGATGAGAGGGGTTTGAACCGCAGCCGTGAGCTCCAGCCTCCGAAAACCGGTGTCCGAGTCATAGGTGTAGGAGCCGCAGGTGTTGTGGTTGGCCTTGGGACAGCGGAGTACAGCACAGGTTTGGAAGTAGTACTTGCCGTGAAACAGGCCATCAAACGCGCCAAGGACGAATAACTCTGAGCTGGACTTGTTGGTCAGTTCGTAAGTCAAGAAGCAGCAGACTTGACCCTGACAGGCCATGGTGTTCGGCATGAGACTGTCAAGAGGTACGAAAGAGAAACCTCGATTGTAGAACGGCTGGGCTCTGCGTCTGCTAGACCCAGAGGTCCTGACGTTATCAAAAAATAATTCTGTTACTTCAGCCACATGCTGTGTGGAATCAGTTTTGGATTTGCTTTTATTTTGTGTGGACATTTTGGGCATAATAAGAGTATCTTGTTGATCAGATCGGTAATTCTGATAAATGTTTTTATCGAGGTCTGGTGTCATGTCTTCGTGAAATGTATCACTTGGTAGACATTGCTTTTTACCTGAGTTGTGGTCTTGTACAGTTTGGCAGCTGTTTTGGGTTTCCGACAGGACTTTTAGGTCCGCTACTATCAGTTTTGGCCCAGAGGCGGCTGTTCTGTTATAGTAGAATTCCTTCATGCCCTCCGGTGTGTAGAGACCGCTGCCCTGCACGCGTATGTCTGGCAGATGAAGATTTGCTGCTAAAACATTCACTTCGAAACCCATCGCGAAAGACGAGTGGTAGCCAATGGCAGAGAGAAGAGGAAGAGCGTCCATCCAGGCTGTTGGGAACACAATGTTCTTGATAGCATGGTGGGTTACCATGGAAACTGCTGGTTTCTCGAACAGAATATCGAAGCAGATGAGAAAGCCGAAGCGACCAAATGGCGTGTCAAAGTATTTGACTTCCGGCTCGGGTGTGTTAAACTGCGGTTCGTGAAACAAATTTGACTTGTGGTACTTTGCCAAGAGTCGGCCGTCGGGGTCAAAAGCGACCGCTGTGTTATACTGGAACCGCTTGTCCGGTGGACATTTGGAGTCGATGTCCGGCTCGCAAGGGACCTTGTCCCCCATGTCTGCCACGAGATACAGGGAGTTGTTCTTGGCTAGACAACTCAACCATCTCAGGACCTGTGTTTCGGGGAAACGATGGGGCTCGCTGCAAGGTGACCACGTGACTGTGTCAGGGTCAGGGATTGCCTCCAGGAAAGGGTAGATGGTGTCACGGGTGAACTCATAGCCGTACAGACCGTTTTCTGGGAACACGAGTATTTGTGCACTCTGGGTGACAGAAGGGGAAGATGAAGGGAAGGGTGATAATTATGATAAACAGGAGTTTTAAATAATCTGTTTGTTCACTTGGGTGCGTGTGTTTGAGTGTACAAGTATGTGTGTGCGTATGTGTGTGTGCGTGTGTGTGTGTGTGTGTGTGTGTGTGTATGTGTGTGAGTGTTTGTATGTGTGTGTGTGTGTGTGAGAGAGAGAGAGATAATAGATAGATGGATAGATAGATAGATAGATAGATAGATAAATAGATAGATCGATAGATATATAGATAGATAGATAGATAGATAGATAGATAGATAGATAGATAGATAGATAGATAGATAGATAGATAGATAGATAAATAGATAGATAGATAGATAAATAGATAGATAGATAGGTAGCTGAGTCCTTCCCCCACCCCCACACATCCTCCCCCCCCCTCCCAAAAAACACACACACATACGCACAGTTTTCGCCATTTTATCCACTTCCCTAAAGAGTGTCGTATACGAAAATGATTAAGCTCTTGAAACCGCAAAAGGCTGGATCACTTGAGAATACACTAAACTGTAAATTTTAAAGTCTCAACACTTTATATAAATTGGGCATGTACAATAAATTTTTTTTTTCTTTTTAAGTGTCGAGTTAAAAATTTATACCGGTACAAAAGCGCCAGCAGTTTGCCAGGCACGAGTTGTGGATTCCCATGCAGCAGCAGCTGTGAACGGAAATTGAACACATTTTTTCGTAAGTGTTTTACGGCACTCTCAACTACATAGAGCCGTGTGACCCCACTGGAGTCATTTACAATTTTCAGTGCGGGAGGAATCTATTTTGAATTTTGCCCTGGTAGCGGCCGAAGCCTAATCTTTTCGATTTTGGACCACCAAGTGATCTTTAACGTGCACAACGTGGACACAGGAGCTCCGACATTTTTCGCCCAAAGATCATGCATGTGGCTGAAAGACTTGTAAGAAGCAGGAAAGGAGTAGCAGTAGAAAGGCTGCAGAAACAGTTGCGAGCCCCGAGTACACAACTTTAAAAAATGGCTTATGTAACCAATGGCTCAATTCTGGAGTATTATTTGGTAATGGTACTTAGCTATCGATGTTTGTAATTTTTTCTGAATTCTAAATTTTCAAATCATGAAAAGAAAAAAAACAGCCCCTTCATGCCTCTGTAAATATTGAATTTTATCTTTTTTTTAAAATAATTTTTGAAATCTGAAAATGGGGTTTCTTCTTTTAAAAAATGTGACACAAAGATGAGGCCACCGGAATTATTATACGCTACCCACCAATTGTTTTGCAGCTATTGCCTGAAGTTTGTACACGTCCAGATTTTTTTGCATGTTCCGGAGCGCTTCTCGCCGAGTCACAGGTGTGTCCGTTATGGCGGGTAATATGACAGCATGTTCGTACACTGCAGCTCTGTACGTCTCTGTGGCAGATTTTGACACACCAACTGTTTTGGCGGGTTGCAAAAATACAGCGTCATCTTCTGGAAATACGAGACAGCACAGGAAAAACAGGCCCCACCCAATGTGGGTCATGTGACTAGGTACGATCAGCATCGTTGTTTGGTTATCTGAGAAAATACAGTAAATGTATACAGAAAACCTAAAAGAAGGGGGAAAGGCAACTAAACAAAACAAAAACTAATGGCCATTATTAGCCATTAATAAGTATTTGGCAGTTGGGTTATTAACTGGAATAATACTATTATGGTAAAAGTATCAAAAACATTATTTCGCGTTAACACAAATATTCCCAGCCGGTTCGGAAACGTGCTAATCTTACACTGTACTTGAGCCAGCAGTTTTGGTCCGTTTTAAAGTCCATCTGCAACAGGACCGAGTGAAATTGTGAAAATCCATGCAAAGTGTCTTTTTCAGAGGTACAACGTCGGACGGAGCTGAACATTGAACCTCTGAAGAAGCATTCTAACGATAATGAGTCTGGTACCCCAGTACCGATGCCATTAAACAGACACCAATAACTGTTAATTTGAAAGGTGTATTTCTAAGGTCGTGCCTTTTAAATTATGTAACAGCCAAGCATGTAGCGTTAAATCCATACAATTTCAATTCTATTTCGTGCCTATATTAATATTGATAAAACAATATGTATAAACGAGTTCCACAAAATCTTATACTACACTACTCTCATTTATTGAATGATTATAAATGTTTTACCAACAATATAGGCCTACTACATCTAGATCGATTAAGGGGTGGGCTGTTTCCAACCTGACTAATTACACCAGCAAAGGATGAGTGGAGTCCTACTTCACAGGGAATCGAACTCATGTCTTTTGAGTGCAATTGCAAAAGCATTACACCACAGACGCACGGAAAAGAAATGTATAAATAAAATAATGAGAAGGGGCTTTCAGTGACAATCAATAGAAAAAAAATTAATGCGTGTCAGTTATCGAAAAGTGGGAACGATAGGCGCAGACGACAAGGCACATTCGACTATTTTTAAACTTTTATTTTCCTTAATATCATAGATATTAATAGGCCAATCAGAATACATACATACGTTTAATTAAAACACTTTGTCACCTCATCTCGCCGATCGGCGATGTCTACAACCCAGTTTCTTTGGATTTTCCCCAAAATGTTTGCCTTTGGTGGCAAGAGTTTTTACTATATGTGAGGCAGCGTGGTGGAATCAGGCTCTCGTCAATTTTGGGGCATGTAGAGTTATTGGTATCATCTTAAAGCTTGTTCATTTGTCTTTATTTGGGGGAAATAGATATCCATTTATCTTGAATACAAGTCGAGATATTTGAGAATGCAGGGGGTGGGGGTCACCTCTTTTCAGAGGTAAAATTAGTGAGAAAATGGCCGCCAAAGATTAGTTATTTCCTTAGCTTAAGAGTCCGTGGTAGCTGAAAA